ATATATATATATATGTGTGCATATATATATATATATATATATATATATATATATATATAAACATGGGGCTCAATCTCATGACTCTGAGATCACGACCTGAGCTGCAATTACGAGTCAGAGACTTAACCAACTGAGCTACCCAGGAGCCCTTAGCAGATTTTTATAAAGCCTCCTCTATGCGCTAGGCTTCTCAGTCCTTGAGATACATTAGTGAACAGACACTACTAAGTTTTTGTGGGGAGCTGGCACATCTGGAACTCCCACCCATTACAGGTAAGAGTGTAAAGACAAACAGTTTTCTGAAGACTGGCCTTATCTAGTAAGCTAAACTTGTGCTTATCCGGTGGTCCGGAATCCCCCCCCCCTCCTGGGTGTGTGCCTAATGGAGCTGAGTGCACACTCCACCAAGGCCAGGGCCAAGGACATCCAGCCGTATTAGCCACCACCTCCATTACCACTACCACTGCTCCTGCCTCCCTCGGGGTGTCCTCGTTACCGTCGCTGTCACGGTGAAATCCGTCGCTACCACCCACCCAAATTCTACCACCATCACCCAAAGCTGCAGAAATAGCAGTCCCCGCCCACACCGCCACCATCACCACCGTCGTCATGGCTGTGACCATCGTGCTAGTGACAGGAGGAAATACCACCTCGGTCTATTCATTTGAGAAAGTTAAAGACACAACGCTTTGGCCCCCACCCAGTGGTACCCCTCACGGACCACGGCGCTGCCTGTTCCCACGGCTGGGGCTGAGTCTATCTCTGTCCCCCTCCCCTCCTCACCCTGTCCTGGGCCTGTCCTGAACTGTAACTTTTCCCCAGGAGCAGTGGGACTCTTGCAGTTGAGGGAGGGACAGAGGGAAGGAAGGTCTGGCGGGTGGCTGGTGGGGGTGGCGGGGTAGGAGGTAGTGGGGTTGGAACTCAGAGTATCTTAGAAGCTGGCGGGACCCTGCAGGGGTGCGGCTCCAGGCCTCGCTAGAGGGCAGCAGAGCACTGTGCCAACCGGGGGCAGGCGGGCGGGGGGGGGGGGGGGGGGGGCTCAACACAAAGGAGTTCTGTCAAGCGTGGCCCTGCTCTCTCCCTACGTTTCTCGGAGCGGGGCAGGGTGGGGAGAGAGGGAGCGCACCACGGAGGGGCTAGCCGGCCTGCTGCTATGGAGGGGGGTGAGCAGGCCCTCAAGAAGCGCTCCTTGGGGGAGTAAATAAAAGCAGTGTTGAGCAATCAGGGACCCTCCTCCACACACCCCTACTCCTCCTACCAGCCCCTTGGATCCACTCTCCCCACTTCAGCCCTAGACATCCCCTTTGGGAATACCCTGACTCTCCCTGGAGCCTCAGAATAACGTCTGAGCTCCCTAGGCTGGGACGTAAAGCCATTTGGGCCCTATCTCCTATTGACCCCTCTGGCTGTCCTCTTCTTCCACCCCCCCCACCCCCACCCCTGCCTCCTACACTCCGGCCCAAAGCTTCCCGAGACTTCCCTTTGATTCCTCTAAACCTTTGCCCCTGCTGTTCCCTCTGCCGGGAGTGTTCACTTCTACCTGGTGGGCTTGTCCTGCAAGGCTTACCAGGGAAAGCCTTTCCCCGGCCCCTACCCTCCAGGTCAGGTTGGAGCCACCCTGTCCCCCATGGCCTCCTGGGTCTGGCTTCCCACTGTTACAGTACTGATCACATTGGATTGTCCCTCCTCTCTGCTGGGGGGCAGGGACTGTGTTGGCTTCACCCCTGTGGTCTCTGAGCAGGCACAGGGGCCCTGCCCACAAGAGGAGCTCAGCAAATGTTGGTGGAAGGGAGGGAAGGAGGAGGGGAGGCCGGTGCGCAGTAACCTCTGTCTCCCATCCTTCTAGCAAGGCTAACCACAAACACTCCACTTCACGATGTAAGGATTCATTTAGGGACTCATTTATCATGGAGATCATCAGCTCCTGCCACAAAGCTGCTCTCAAATGTGCCCAGAAGCCGAGTGACATTCTCTCAGCCCCTGCCAAGCTGGCCTCTCGGACCCGACCATCTGCTACAAATTTAGAATTCCCGGAGGGTGGGGGACAGGCTCCCCTGGGCCCTGGGAAGCCCAAGTGTCAACGCCCTCTGCTCTTTCTGACGCATTTCACGGAGGAGGGCTCATCCCCGTTTGTCAGGTGCAGAGACTGAGGCCCTGGTAGAAGCGGCCTGGCCCGGTCTGAGGCTCACCCTGCATCAGCATTGGATGGAGGTGGACCAGAGGTGAGAAGATGGTGAGGAAGAAAGTTCTCCTTTTATCACATGACACACTCATCTTTCGTTGTTCCTCCTGTTACCCCCCCCCCCCCCCCCCTGTGGAGGAAAAGCCAGATGGATCCAAGGCCTGTTGTGAAATTTTCCAAACAGTGCTTGATGTAATCTTTAATTGAGATGTGAATGTGGGCCATAGGACTCATTCCACAAAAGTCTCCAAAGCGGGGACCTTCAGAGGTTATTGAATTGACTTCTATCTGGCCCCCTACCCCAGGTACAGATGGGAAGACGGAAGAGGGGGCCAGTATAGGCACTGTGAGGAACGGTGATTTTTAGATCGAGGTACAGCGACTCACAGTAACCCCCCGGCACCGCGGGCACCTCCCCTTA